AGAGAGAGAGGGAGGGAGAGAGAGAGAGGGAGGGAGAGAGGGAGAAAGAGGGAGAGAGAGAGAGAGAGAGAGAGAAGTCAGTACCTGGGGGTCCACTCTGGACAAACAGCTGCAAACTGCTGGGCAGCCTTGGAATCACTGGCTCCACTTCCTGGGCTGGTGGCTCGGCTAGGCAAGCAGCCCCACAAAGAGTAGACCCTGCTTCCAGGCTCCGCCATGGCTCTGGCAGCTCCCCCAGCCTCTCCTGGCACATTGGCCTCTTCTAATGCCATTTTAATTGCACATTTAAGCGCAACCTGCCATCTTCCAGTGGGGAAGTGAGGTTCCTCATTAACTTCTGCCGAGCCATGAGGAGGCCAGCAGACACGCGATGATTCTCTCTTCCTCTCCTTCCCTTGCTGTCTCCTAACCTCCCCACCCCAGCTAGTTTTGTTTCAGAATTAATAAGAGATTAGAATGAGTTCTCGGAGTACTGCGGGCTGTCCCTTCAGCCTGTTGCTATAGTAATTTTCCACAGCTCCAAACCCACGTCTGCCTGTGTGGGTATACCCAACTCACACACTCAAACACAGAATTTTTGTCTTTCTCCTTCTTCTCTTATGTCCGGAGCTATGATCGAGGAAGTCATCAAAGACAGAAAAGCTCCTCTAAGTTTCAGGGCACGAGAGATAAAGGCTGAGGAGTCCTCAGGAAGGTGGGGAGTAGGGAGTGAGATCGATTTCCCTCAGTCCCCTTGCCAGGGGTGGGTTGGAACCTACGGTAGCTGGTTCCTACCTGGATGGTCCCCCGGTGGAAGTCTTAGGCTCAGCCCTTGCCCAGGAATATTTCATCGCTCCCAGCATATGCAGTTGCCTCCCCGCTCTCTTTAATATGTGTATTTCATTGTTGAAATTTAGGAAAGTACAGAAAAGCACACACAAAAAAATAAACATCATTCACAATTCCATCACCCAGGGAGAACCACTATTAAATTTTGGTGTCTAGCTTTTGTGCCTTTACAGACACATTTTTTTCCTTTTCCAAAATTATTATCACACGGCACACACTCTTTGGAAAACTGTGTTTTTGTTCTACTTAATAACATGCATGCATTTTTCTCACGTCATTGCTTATTTTTCTACAAATATTTTAATGGCTGTATCATTTCCTATCCCATGGATGTACCATAATTTATTTAACCATCCTTTATTGTTGGAGATACAGGTTGTTTTCAATCTTTGCTATAATAAATAATGCTGGGATGCACGTCTTTGTACATAAATCTTTATGCAAATTCATGAATATTTTCTGAGCATAAATTTCTAGGAGTGGAATTACTGAGTTAAAGGCATGCATATGCTTTTCAGGATCTTGATATGATTTGCCACATTGCCTTTTAGAAAGGCTGTAAGGATTTACACTCCCACCAGCAGCATATAGGTGTCTTATAGCACCCTTGCCAATACTGGGTATTTTCATTAAAAACGCCTTTAATTTTTTTTATGGCTGTGCCTTTGAAGGAAATTCCCTTGTAATTATCATTATTAGCAAATGGTTCTGCTGGGTGCAGGCTTTCCTGAGACCACCTGTCAGACTCAGCCCTTGTGACCTTGGAACCAAATCCATCAGGGACCAGCGAGGTTTTGGGAAACCTTGCTCCCATTTGAATTCCTAGCAGCCCCAGCAGGCCGGCCCTGCATCCGTCCTGGACTCAGTCCGCACGTTTCCCTGGAGCTCCAGACTCCTCTTTCACGGGGCTACAACCCGGCCTTGTGGGGCCTCAGGGAGGATGAACTCAGTGTGGGAAGCAGTGTGATCAGAAGATGTACGGAGCTTCTGGGAGGGTTGGTGTGCACTCCTGAGCCTGGCCCCAGAGCTAGACAGCACTCCGCTGCCTCTTGATTTCAGGAAGATTTCCAGAGTAATCCCCTACTTCATTGAGCGGCTCTTCTGGCAACGAGCTCCATGTTTACCCAGAATTCAGGTCTCAAAAACCAAGGATCTCTTGTCTCTTATTTTTAGGACATCAGATTTCACAAAGTGGATTTTAACCATCTGATGGTGCCCTGATGGTGCCCTCTCCCCCTGCCCCCAGCCCATCCCTGTAACCCGGGAGCTCTTGCTGGCCTAGGCAGTGGTGAGAGGCACGGACAGCGGTGGGGGAGGGAAGGGATAGAGGTGAGCATCATGCCCCACCATCTTCTTGGAAGTGGAGGAGGCAATGTAGCTTTGCTAGAAGAAGGAAGAGCCTCCCGTCAGGGTCCTTGGGCTCCATCAGGACCCCCCGTGTAATCTCACCCCAGACATTTGTTTCCCATTGGAATGGCAGTGATATAATTACCCTGGCCTATCCTTCAAGGAGCCTGTGAAGGTTCCTGTGAGAATGCTCACAAAATTATTGGAGTGCCTTGGGGGGTCAACACGATGTAAGGGGAAAATCTAATCATCCCTGGCCTTGTATTTTCCTCCCACGCACCTCAGTAGTCATGACAAAAACGGTTTCCCAGGGGCCCAGGGCTGTGGGCTACATGACGCAGATCTAACCGACGGTCAGGAGGGATGAGGGCCCTGGGGAGAGCTGGGCTCATTATTTCCGTGATCTCCTTGTCAGCGTCTATAGCACCTGTCACACTCCAAGCCAGGCACGCCGACAGGGAAGCTCGCTTAGGGGCATTTATGATGGCTACAAAGATCAGACAAAAAGAGACCCTTCCGAAGTCACAGCTCTCAACCGTGGGCTGAGACTTGCTGATGCGCTGTGACCAAGGGCACGTCCCAGGCAACTTGCTCCTCACTACTAATAAAGGACCAGAGTTTGCAGATGATGCACCTGTTTCCAACATTACTGCAGATTCAAGAATACACTTGAGTCTCACTCACTCTCATCCCGCTAGGGGTGGAGTTAATTTGGGAATTGCCTACAACCCACAGACGCTCTGCTATCTATGCCTCGGCCCCTAAGAGAAGTGTGTCAGTAGTTCCATCAATATCATAGCCCTCCAAGGGGAGTATGAGACATTTCCATTTATGAGACGCGTGATCTTCTGGACAAGTTGCACAGCCTTTGGTGCTTCAGCTGTCGGTGCTCAGCTGTCAGTGGGGGTGGTGAAGGAGTAATAGTGCCTACCTCATCCGGTTAACCCGAGTAAAATGCTTTCTAGTGCTTGGTGCGGGCTGAACAGTGAGTGAGTGTTAGCCATTGGTATTGTTAATGGTCGTGGGGATAATTATTATAGTCTGTTTTATTATTTGTTTCATTTCCCGTAAAGTCACTTTGGTTTCCAGAATACCCAGTTATATCCATGGGAATGTGTTTTACCTGAGAATATCAGCTACTAGGAGTGTCACTGCAGGGGTGGGGTGTGGGGGGGAGGGGGAGGGACCTTACTCTAGAGGCCAGGGTTTCTGTGCTCCGTCCTCCAAGGCCGAGGGCAATGTAAGAAACAATCAGTCAAGATGTTCTACGCTGCTGGTGCTGAAGGGTAGTGGCCAGACCAAGGGCGGACACTTGGAGCCCTCCCTGCTCATGCACTTCCAGCAGGTTTTTATTTTCCTCTCTAATCTCCTTCTCTTCCCTTTGCAGGCAGCGGAACTAGGGATGGTGTCAGCCTATTACACATACATCTTCACTAATCTGGTAAGACATTTTCACAGCTCACCTCCTTGGCATAGAGAGTATCATTAATTAGGGTCAGTGGGGAGTGACGGAATGAAGGCCGGGAGATGGGAAGTAGGGAAATGGAACAGAGGAGCAGAAGCCAGCCAGAGAGGCAAGGCATCTGAGAAACATGGAAACCCAGGAGCCACTGGGATTCTCATCACAACAATTCTTAGCCTGGAGAGGATGGAAATTTGGGGACTCTAATGCCTCCATTCAGATGCCACCAGCAGCATAGCACTGAGCCCTCTGGTGGATGCTCTCCTCTATAGGTCCAGTTACTGGCCTGCAGTCCAGTCTCTACACTGCCAGACCCTTATGCTGGCTGGCTCAGAAGTAGGAAAGCTAGAGCACAAGATGTATGCGTGTCCTATGTACAAAGGTGTTATAACTGGATACACGTCCAGAGGCCATTTTTACCAAATCCCCTTGTTTTGCAGCTGAGAAGACAGTTCTGTAGAAATTTTATTGAGTCAGGTTGGAGCACTATTTTTGCCATGTACCATCTGTGTACCCTTCAACAAGCACTGAGCCTTGTTTTCCTTATCTGTAAAATGGGCATAAGGACAGCTACGTTATGGAGTTGCCGTCATTTCGAAATGATGTAATTTAATCTGTGTGTATTTTGAAATTGTAAAACATTAAGAGATGTGAAAGGTTGGTGTGAAGTATGGACACACTCAGTTAGAAAGTAGAAAGAACCTCAGAGAACAGGTTTAAAAAAATTACAACTTTTTGTTTTGAGATTATTATAGATTCACAGGAAGCTGCCAAGGTACACAGAGCAGTACCGGGTACCTTTAATCCATTTTTCTCTAATGGTTACATCTTACATTATTACAGTAAATATCAAAACCAGGATATCAAAATATCAAAGCTATTAAGACTTGTGTAGATGTGTGTAACTCCTACTGCAATCAGGATACAAAATCTCATTACCACAAAGATCTCCCTCAAGCTACCATGTTATAGTCACACCCACTTCCCTTCTTCCCACCACCTCTAACCTCTAACAACTGCTACCCTGTTCTCTATTTCTAAATTTTCTAATTTTATATAAATGGAGTCATGAGTAAATGACCTTTGAGGTTAATTTTTTTCACTCAAAGTACTGCCCTCAAGATTCATCAAAGGTGTTGCATATCAATAGTTTGCCCTTTATTATTGCCAAGTCGTATTTCTTGGTGTGGATGTACCAGTTTCCTTAACCATCCACCTATGGAGAGACATAGTTTCCAGTTTTTGGCTATTACAGATAGAGCTGTTATAAACAGTCATTCAGAGAAGAGGCTTAATTAGTTTATGCCCTTATTTCTTTTATAAATGCACGAGATATCCAGATCATTTAAGTAGCCCCTTCATCCAGACGTGCTTTGATGTAACAGGAGCCTGGCCAGGCATTCGGGATTACAATGGGAATAAGAAACCAAGCCGGCCCAGGAAAAACCTATTGCAAGGTACCTGTCCTATTGCATAGTGGCAAATTCTATGAGACGTGTACGCAAAATGCTTTAGACCCTAGAGCAGGGGTCGCTTGCTCTACCTGGAGCGGGCAGGAAATGCTTCATAGAAGAAGGGGCCTTTAAGCTACACCCTGAAAGACAGGTAGGCTTTTTCCTAGACAAACAAAGAAGGAAAGAACATTCGGGGGTGAGCAACAGCTTATTCACATACCTGGAGATTTGAGTGACTTCAAACGTATGGACTGCGCCAGGAATGGGTGTGCCAGTTAATTATTATTCATTTGTCTATTTGTAGCCATTCGTGAACGTAACCTACTTAAAAGATGTAAGGCAGGTATCAATGCAAGATCCTTGCTGTGCTTGGGGAGCAGAATTCAACCTCACCGTTATGACTCTTGAATCTTAAAATGGAAAAGGTTACCTAGAAGTTAAGCCTTTCTTGGCCAACACAGGTGGTAGGGTAAGCTAGGTGATTGTGCAGTGTCCCTTCTGGGATTTAGGGGCCAGGACTCCTGAAATGTCCTGAGAGGCTGAGGAGATGCCTCCAAAAGAGATGAGCTGGGATTCTGTGGTCCCTGTTCTTGTCCAGCTGTAGTGTCGTGAACAGCCCTTTCTTTGGGCTGCTGTGGAATTGTTCCCCCTGCAGCATCCTACAGGCCTTTGCTCTCAGGGTTGAAAGGCCCCTCGAAGAATCCAGTATAGCTGCTTTTCTGGTGTAGGGACTCCCTCCACGGCAGGCTTGCCCCACCACAAACCTGCCTGTTCCATTGTTGGAATTTTTCCACTGAGGTCTAGCATACATATAGAAGGCCACACAAATCATATGTGCACAGCTGCATGAACGTTCTCCAGGTGAGCACACCTGTGTCAGCAGCACCCTGATCCAGAAATAGCCCATTGCTAGAGCCCCAGATGTCCCCCTCACGCCCCCTCCCCAGTCACTACTCCTCAAAATGTAAAGCACAAGGAACTTCTTTGTTTGCTTATTTATTTATTTTTTCCTATCTAACACTGCTGTTGTAAATCACTGCATTAACATGGAAAAGGGTAGAAAAGGATTAGACTATTCCCAGAGCAATGCAAAAGCATTTGCCTAATGTAAGGAGGCATCTGGGGGAGCCCAGCAAATTAGCAGAAGAATAGAGAGAGATGAAACTCCAGTTGTGTTCCATTTGGGGAGCCTGGGAAGTAGAGGGGAGGAGGGGGAAAAGGCAAGCCAGGGGCCATCTGCCTTGTGCCCACCTGCCAGGGACTCCCCCCACGTCAGTTAGCCAGGGCAGCAGAGGAGGAAGGAGCGGGGCAGCAAGGAGTCGCGGGGGTGTCTTTGCAGATCGAAGGAGGCTAGTCTTTTGGAAGATAAGTTCCCAGGACGGTAATGAGAATAGTGCACAGTTGCTTGGCCTGGAGATGTTTAAGAAAGCGTCACCCACGCTGCAACCCACCACTCCCTCTTCTCAAACATGGTAATAATGATTGTGATGAGGAATCTTGTGGAGAAAGCACTGGCCTGTGAAGTCAGGAGACCTGGGTCAAGTCCCCACTCTGCCTTATACTCACTGTGTGGCTTTGGGGGAGTCACGTTGACTCTCTGAGCCCCAGCTTTCTCCTTTGTTAAAGTGGGGATAATCAAATCTTACGGGGTTGTTGTGAGGATAAAGAAAACTGCATTGTAAATTGCCAAGTACTATATGTTTTGAAGGCGTTGCATTTTTTAATAGAGCTTTATTGGAGTATAATTGCTTCACAATACTGTGTTAGTTTTGGTTGTACAACAAAGTGAATCAGCCGTATGCATACATATGTCCCCATATCCCCTCCGTCTTGTGTCTCCCTCCCACCCTCCCTATCCCACCCCTCTAGGTGGTCGCAAAGCACCAAGCTGATCTCCCTGTGCTATGCAGCTGCTTCCCACTAGCTAACTATTTTACATTTGGTAGTGTATATATGTCGATGATACTCTCACTTCACCCCAGCTTCCCCCTCCCACCCCGTGTCCTCAAGTCCATTCTCTATGTCTATGTCCTGCCCTGCCACTAGGTTCATCAGTACCATTTTTTTTTTTAGATCCCATTACAGATGGCCAAGAGGCACATGAAAAGATGCTCAACATCACTAATTATTAGAGAAATGCAAATCAAAACTACAATGAGGTATCACCTCACACTGGTCAGAAGGGCCATTATCAAAAAATCTAGAAACAATAAATGCTGGAAAGAGTGTGGTGAAAAGGGAACCCTCCTGCACTGTTGGTGGGAATGTAAATTGATACAACCACTGTGGAGAACAGTATGGAGGTTCCTTATAAAACTAAAAATAGAGCTACCATATGACCCAGCAATCCCTCTAGAGGCATATACCCTGAGAAAACCATAATTCAAAAAATACGTTTATCACAATGTTCATTGCAGCACTATTTACAACAGCCAGGACATGGAAGCAACCTAAGTGTCCGTCGACAGATGAATGGATAAAGATGTGGCACATATATACAACGGAATATTACTCAGCCATAAAAAGAAATGAAGTTGAGTTATTTGTAGTGAGGTGGATGGACCTAGAGCCTGTCATACGGAGTGAAGTAAGCCAGAAAGAGAAGAACAAATACCGTATGCTAAGGCACTGTATTTTTTTTGTAACACTCCGATACTTTCAGCTTTCAAAGAGCTTTTGTCCTTCTTGGGTGGGCACAGAACGAGATGGGCTTTGGGAGCGTGCCTCAGTCAGAGAGTTCTTTCAACTTGGAATTAACAGGATTCACATGGTTTGTAAGTTTGCAAGAGGAAATCAGAAAAGTAACTGCATGAATGATGATGGCTGAGTAATAGCCAAGAAAAGAGAAGCAGAGCTGTTGCAAAAATCAGTCAGTGAGAGAACACGCTGGAGGCTTCTCATTAGTGCCTTGGCTCTCTGGAAGGGACAGACCCTATGAGGAGTAAAAAAACTCTTTTTAAGTCCATTCTTTCTGCCCAGTTGCTGTTGGAGTCTTGGGCCAGAGCACTAGGGGCTTTATGTAGAGGTTCATAAGTGAGCCTCTGTGCTTCTCCAGTCCCTTTCCCCAAATACAGATGCCACCTAGACTTTAATTTTTATTTATTTCTACTCTGAATTCCTCAAGGATCCCCATCACGTCCCATCTCTCTGAATTCTGCCACAGTGATGCAGTGGGCACTCAGATTAGCTTTTTGAGAGTTAGCACAAAGGTGTGGGCTTTGGCATTCGTAGACATGACTAAGAATTCCAGTTTGACTAGCGATCAGCTGTGTGATCCTGTGCAAGTCACTTAACCTCTCTGAGCCTCAGTGACCTCATCAGCTGTTGGACGCTAATAACACCTGCCTCAGTAGATAATACCCACACAGAAACTGACTCACAGTACAAGTTTAGTAAAGGGAAGGTATTATTTTAAAAAGTGCTATTTGTGCTTCCCATGTACTGAAAAGAGCAGGAGATATTTATTTTGCCGCCCAGCCTCTAATGACCTATAAAAGTGACTCCTAAAATGCCATTTGATTGATT